CGGGAATCGGTCCGTGAACCGGGGGCTGCACCGAGGGGTTTCTGTTCTAGTACCGGGGGTCTCTCCGGGGGTCGCTCCGTGCACCGGGAATCGGTCCATGAGCCGGGGGCTGCACCGAGGGGGTCGGTCCGGGGATCGGGGTCGGTCTGTGAACTGGGGGCTGCACCGGAGGGTTTCGGTTCTTGCACCGGGGGTCTCTCCGGGGGTCGCTTCGTGCACCGGGAATCGGTCCGTGAGCCGGGGACTGCACCGGTGGATATCGGTTCTTGCATGGGGGCTGCCCCGGGGGTCGCTCCGGGGGTCGGTCCCTGCACCGGGGTCTGCACAGGGGGGTCGGTCCGTTGAACCGGGGCTGCACCGGGGGTCGGGGGCTGCACTGGGGGTCTGTGCATGGAGTGGGGGCTGTACCGGTGGTCTGCGCGTTTATCGGGGGGTCGATCCGTGCACCGGGGGTCTGCAAGGGCGAGGTCGGTCCGTGGGTCGGGGGCTTCACCGGGAGTCTGTGCTCGGACCGGGGCTGCACCGGGGGGCGGTTCGTGAATCGGGAAGATCGGTCCGTGCACGGGGGCTGCACAGTGGGGTCGGTCCGTGGGTCGGGGGCGGCAGCGGGGGTCGGTCCGTGGGCCCAGGGACGCTCCGTACACCGGGGGCTGCACCGTGGCTCTSCCGCTTGAGCGGGGGCTGCACTGGGGGGCGGCAATTCACGCACCGGGGCGCGGGGGCGGCTCGGTCCGTGCACCGAGACCTGCACCGGGGGCGGGAGGGGTCGGGGGAAACCGGGACACGCGGCGACCTCGGTGCTGCGGGCGGGCGGCGGCCGCCACCTGCCGGRGACACGGCCCGGGCCCGCGGGGGACGCGCTCCCGGCTGCCCGCGCTTGTCCCGGGTCCTCACACATCGGGATCGCCTCCTCTCGTCCCCCGGGTTCCGCTGCGGTGGAAGAGACCCCCGGTGCGTGACGCCCCACGGCCGTGGGGTCGCGGGAGGTGCCCACGCCGTGCCTCAGTTTCCCTCGGCCA